TCGACTACGGCTATCCTTTAGAGAACACATAGCAGTGCGTGCCAGCCAAGCCAAAGCCGCCTTCCAGAGGATAGGGAGACTAGCAAATATAGAGACAGGCCTCTCTCCCTACGCCATTAGGCAGCTCTACTTAGCGTGCGTGACTAGCGTTGCAGACTACGGAGCACCAGTATACTGGCACTCACAAAGCTACGCAACAAAGCTACTCCAACCACTCCACAATCTCGCGTGTAGAAAGGTGCTAGGAGTCTTTAGAACCGCTCCATCAATACCTGCAAGTGTTAAAGCAAGCCTACTATCACCAGCAATACGGCTAAACGCTACGCTAAGAAACTACGCAACAAGAGCAGCTTAGCTAGCTAAAACCCACCCAATCGCAATAGCTATTGCTAGGCTTTAAGCAACAGACCCCTAGCAAACTAAAAAGCCAAAACAACGTAGACAGTTACTCTAGATTACGAACTCAATCCCAACTACCTACAATAGAGAGATAGAGAAGATAATCCCATATAGGTTTAGGCCATAGGTGTTATGGCACAGCGCTTACCTCATGGGGACTAGTGCCTTGGCTCTCTGCCTGTACTTAGACTGCTGCGTAGCTGCCTCCACCACCACGAATCAATCTTGTACACTACTTTGTCCGCATACCTGTTCTACTACGTTCTGGCTGTTGGCATTGGGCCATAGCATCTGGTAGCTGCTCTTTTCCGATCTGCATTGCGCAGTGCCCTCATCGTCTGCATTGCGCGACGCCCTCCCCCGAACGCACCGCGCGATTAAAGACAACATCGGTACCAGTTTTTGGCCCGGCCGAAGCCACACGTTGGGAGACGAGTGTGCACAAAAGAATAAACGACCCCACAAACCTTCTTCGACTCGCAGCCAAAACTGCCTAACAACAGACCCGAGGTCTGTTGTTTGGTCGGAACCCTACACGCCAGTACATGCCAAGGATCAGCAAACAGGAACTCAAGAAACTCGGCATCGACGGTAATCAGCAAGACGATCCACAACCCGCAAGAAGACAGACGCGAGGTTCATCCACCCGGCCAACAGCGCCAACCTCTACGCTGCCCCCGTCTTCAGGTAAGGGTAAACAAACTGGGAGTGCTGAAGGCAAGAACACTCTACAGGACGCAGGAACCGAGCGGTCATCGGAAGTCACAGGCGAACCCTGTCGGGAACCAGAGGCAACGGCTACCAATCAGAACAGTCGGGAACCACCCGGCGCTTTCCCATCGAACCAAAGGCAAGGACAACACGACACTAACCCAGCCCCAACTTCCCCCTCCGCCTTCAATCCACGTCCCAGCCCATCACACTCCTCTACCTCTTCCGGCACACAGCACACAGCACAAGCACCTCCCCATTTCCCCATAAACCCGGTAAGATACGTTGAACTCCCGTTCCAACTCCCAAGACTGCACCTGCCACTCCGGAAAGACCCGCCAGCCATGCAGTCCAGTCAGGGGCAGGCCGGCCCCTCGAGAGAACGATACTCGTACAATAAATATCGTAGGGATGCCATGATCTTACTCGAAATACAACGAAGACAGGACCAAGGAGAGGTGCTTCCAGGCCTTGACCAACGCGTTCAGTTTACCGAAGCAGAATTGGCAACAGCCCGGACAGTCCAAAGGATGATGCGTAGACGACACCGCGATGAAACACAGCAACGCGCACTCGAGTACCTGGCCATAAGTCCACTCACAACGCAAGCACTGATGGAATGGCGACGACGATTCAATAATGGACCAGACGATGAAGACGAGGAGGAAACAGACCCTCCACCTCCGTCAGTTCCACTCAATCCTCCAAGACCGCCAGTGCAAACGCCACGGTCAAGGTATCGCACAGAAGAAACAGAGGAAGTGAGACGCGTCTTCCCTCCACCAACACGATCGCCTACACGACTACCGCCACAAGATCATACGCAGTATGTGCCCCCGCCCCGACAAATGAGCATGCCCGGATCCCACCGACACAACCGCCATAGACGAAGGAGCCCATCCGATCCATCAAGCTCGGATTCTGGGAGCGACAGGTCGCGACGCGGATATCGACGACGACACCGACAGCGACACGAGCCCGCGCAAACAACAATCGATATGTTCAGTCAGCGACGTTTGAAGCCCGAAGAAATGGGAACCTTCGATGGCCACAACACGAGCGTGCATTTGTATGTACGCCAAATCCAACATCGAGTCCGCCTTTACGGATATCAGAGGGTACTCGAAGTTCTCCCCCTCTGCATGAAAGGAGACGCCATGGACTGGTATAGTTCTTTGTCCGACAGTCAGATTCATCGCATGACAACTAGCATTGATGAATGGATCATCGCCCTACGCCATAGGTTCCAAAAGGATGCTCTGCTTGCTGAGGACGAGGCAAACAAATGCAAGCATTCCTTTGAACGTGAATCGCTTGACGTACGACAATACATCACCCGCAAGCAAACCTTACTCTATGACGCGGGTATTGAAGGACAGGACGAACTACTTATGATCCAGAAGATTTGGCGCGACCTGGATCCTACATTGCAGAACGCAGTTACTCTCGACCCATACATGACTATGGAAGAATTCGTCAGCCTATGTTACCAAAAAGAGTACTCTGCACGCCGCGCTTTTGAACAACAACAGCGACAAGCAGCAGGACAGCTCCGCGTCGCTGCCCAGGAGTATGCACGATCCCGACGGGAAGCGGAACGACCTGGAACATATCGCCCTGCACTGCAAACGAGGACGACGAATCCAAAACTGCCGGAGCCTGTCCGACCCGCCCTGAAAACAATTCCGGGAGGACAAACAACTAAGACACCGCTCGCATACCCCTGTCAACATTGCGGTGGAAATCACAAAAACTATGAATGTCCAGATCGCCCACCCCGACCGAGACCTTACGGCCAAAAACGCGTCGCATTCATGATGGATCTCATGGACAAGTACAACGACTGCGATTTTTCGGATGAAGGTCCTATCGACTCCGCTCATGATGACGACGATCAGGTCATGCGGAGCGACGGCATGGGTCCCGATCCAGGACAACCGGAAAACGAGTAACGGAGCCCCAGAAGGACGGCTGCGACTCCGATGCAAAACAACATATCGCCGTCCCTGAAGCTCCTTTCCCCCCGACGGAGGCACCCGACACCAACAGTGATACCCCAGACACCATTAACAACACTAATCACGCCACCTACGCACACAACTCCGTCCTCATCACTACCTTTCAGCATGAGAAGCCGGCCAAAGCATACATGCAGGCACCGGACCTTACTCCTATAGAATTTGTCCCGGACACAGGAGCCGGAGTCTCGCTCATTAAGCGAAAATACCTTGAGCATTATAGAAGGGTTAACATCATACAACTCGACCAGGATCAGCACATGAAGATAGACGGAGTGGGTTCAGCAGCAATCTTCGCGGAACAAGCTATAGATAATTTTCCTTTAACTCTGCAAGCGGTCGATGGCGAAAAGATCAGACTTTACGGACTGGTCTACGTCGTCGACAAGCTTCCAGTACCATGCATCATCGGCAATAACATACTCAGACCGAACGGAGTCAACATCATGTACGATGATGTGCCAGGCAATTACGCGGCACTCCGTATCCGAGGTCACTATGTCAGACTCCATTGCACCCCCGAACCAAAACGCAAACGTGTTCTCATCAAAGCTGCGACTAACGTCATTGTCCCTGCTGGTACCGGCGCGCACGTCGCCATCCAGAAAACAAACTTACCAAGAACCGCATTTGGATACCTCCTCACCCCAAGTCCTGTCTGTGAATCATCCAATGACACTCTTGCGTCGACAGGAAACCAATTTCTCAATGGTGATGAAACCCACATAACCGTCGCCAACCTGGGAAAAACAAGCGTTAAAATATATCCTGGACAGCAGCTGGGCTACTTGGAAATGGCGGACGCACCCAATCGAAGCGCAGACATCTACCTCTCATTAGACTACTTGTTCGAAGGTCTACCCCCAACCAGGGAAGAAAATGAGCCAGACGACCCACCCGCTGGAACCCCTTTTACCGTCACACCATTAGATGACGATATACAAGTGGGAAAGGCGGACGTAAGCTCAGAATGGGGACCGGATTATGAGAAGTGCGTGCGACACGTGATCCAGAAACATGCCAACCTGTTCCGCAAAGAGCTGGGTCGCTTCAACGATGACATCAAAATGCCTATCCCTTTTTACGACGGATACGACTTGTCTAAGTTAAAGCAAGCGCCGTATTCGCAATCCTTGAGAGACGAGCGAGCTATTGATGAAGTATTGAACCCATTGCGCGACCAAGGCCGAATCGTTCCAGTGCCATTGGGAAAGCCGAGCCCAGTCGCGGCGCCAGCTTTCGTGGTCTGGAAAAACAAGAAACCAAGGGTGGTCGTCGACATGCGCAAGGTCAACAAAGCACTCATCCCTGACGCGTATCCTCTTCCAAAACAGGATACAATACTTTCATCTATGGGCGGAGCAATGGTTTTCTCATCGCTCGATTTCGTGAAAAGTTTCTTCCAACAAGATATAGCTGAAGAAGACCAGTGGAAAACAGCTTTCGTCACCGCGCATCGAGGGCACGAAATGTTTACCGTGTCAACCATGGGACTGGCAAACTCACCAGGGTTTTTCCAACACCGAATGGAGAAACTATTTGAATCGTACCTGTGGGAATTCGTGCTGGTCTACATCGACGACATCATCATCTTTAGTCGAAGTTTGGAAGACCACCTCACACATCTCGACCATGCTCTCTCATTACTTGAGAACGCCGGCGTTACTCTCTCCATCTCAAAATGTCATTTCGCATACCCCTCCATCCAAGCCCTTGGCCACCATGTATCTAGACTGGGACTCAGTACTGTCAAAGAAAAGACAGAAGCAATACGGGCAATGGTGTTTCCGGAAACCTTAATGCAACTCGAGTATGCCATCGGTTTCTTCGGTTACTATAGGCAATTCGTTCCGCACTACTCACACATTGCCAAACCACTGATACAGTTGAAAACAAGAGGCTTCAAGGACGAACCTAGCAAAAGGGGTTACGGACGTAAGAGATATGCAATGACAAAAACCACAGCTGAGTTCGCGGATGAAAAACAACGAGCAGAGTGCGAAGCAGCGTTCGAAGAGCTCAAAACAGCTTTATGCAATGCACCGACTAGAGCGCATCCAGATTTCAACCGTCCTTTCATATTCTACGTAGATGGCAGCCAAGAAAAGGGATTCGGATGCGCAGTTCACCAGATGGACCTCTCCGACCCCGAGAAACCAATCGAACGACCCATCCTATATATGTCCAAAACGCTTTCACCCACGGAAAGCAGGTATTGGCCAACAGAATTGGAGACGGCCGCTCTGGTTTGGGCACTGCAAAAGCTGCCTCAATACACTGATCACGAGAAGTTTGTGGTGTACACCGACCATACAGCCATAGTCAACTCTTTCAAAGATGAGGGACCAGTCGTGGGCAAAAGGTCAGAACGCCTTCAACAATGGAGACTGTTTTTAGCTCGTTTTCAAGGCAGAATGGAGATTCGGCATGTCCCAGGCAGGGAGCACTTGAACGCTGATGGGCTGTCACGACTGCGAACGGACTCCGATGAAGCAGCAAACAATACGAGCCACAATAACCAAACGACGACTGCCACGCCTACACCCTCCATCCTACTTCTTACCCGCGATGGACAACGTCCCTGCCCGAAGCCACCGACCGCACGACGCGATGTCCAGTGCCAACGATCATTCGCCTTTCCTCTCGATGCGTCCTATAAAGCCGACCTTATACAAATCGACGATGAATTTCGCAAACGTGTGATAAAGGAGCTGCCGACAGACCCCACACTGAAAAAGGTTTACAACGAAATTCGGTCGAGCATCGAGGAGAACACTGCGAATGCCGAATATCCTACAACTACAAGGGAGACTTTCAGATTGGACATTGACACTGGACTGCTGTTCCAAATGGCGCCTGACGGTCAAGAACGACTGTGCATCCCAGCGGCGCTCCATCGTGAGGTGTTGCGAACGGCTCACGACCAAGTCGGACATCCCGGACGAACCCGAACATGCGAAAGAATACGCACAACATTATACATCCCCCACCTGCGAAAGCTTGCAGCCGCTTACATTTCATCATGCCCAGTGTGCAGAGCTGCACGTCCATCAACCTCAAAACCTGCCGGCAAGCTGCAGCCTATTGACACACCCTTTATACCCTTCTTTACGATTGCTATGGATTTCATCGTGGGACTTCCAGTCACCCCAGACGGCTTCGATGCTATCCTGACAGTCACAGACAAGGCAACTAAAGCGGTTAAGTTGATACCAGGTAAGGTAGAGGGCGACGCGCTATATTGGGCAATACGTTTCTGGGACTACGTGGTCAGCGACTGGGGATTACCGAAGGCCATTATATCAGACCGCGATGGTCGATTTCTGTCAAGTTTTTGGCGAGCATTGTTTGAGAAGGTCGGGACTACCCTCGCCATGACTACGGCATACCACCCGCAGGCAGACGGACAAAGCGAGAAAACGAACCAGACGGTCGAGATCCTCCTGCGTTGCATGATTGCCAACCATGATGCCCCAATGATCGGCTGGGATGAGCTGTTACCTGACGTTCAATTCGCCATCAATACGTCACGCAATTTTACAACAGGAGAAACGCCTTTCAAACTGCTGTATGGCGTATCCCCCCGCGACGGCACCAATGTTAGCCAAGCTCCGAATGAGCAGAACGAGTCGGCTGAACAATTCTATCGCGACCGGCAAGACATACGCAAGGAGGCAGAGGAAGCTCTCAAGCTGGCACAAGCAAAGATGGCCATTTACTACGACCAGAAACACTCCCCAATCCAGATTGAAGATATGGCCTACCTAAACCTCACGCGTAAACTCAATCATGGTTACCGCATTCCATACGCATCCAAGCTCGACGTCATCAGAACAGGCCCTTTCAAAGTACTTGAGCGAGTCGGCAAGAACGCTTTTAGACTCGAGCTGCCTACTCACATGAAGATCCACCCAGTGATCTCCGCCGTCCACTTGTCACCCGCACAACCAGATCCATATCAACGCCCACCTGTTGCTGTTGGACAGATCACCGAAGCAGCAACGGACGAAACTGAAGAGACCGCTCAGCATAACGACAATACTTCCACGTCACACCCGCCCCCACTGCCATCCGCGCCTGGCGAACCGCAAAGATATATCATCGACCGCATCCTCACCAAGGAACTCCGACGAAAGCCAGGCACAAGGTACAAGCAATGGCAATACAAGGTCCGATGGCAAGGCTATGACGCATCGGAAGACTCATTTGTGCCGGAGGCACAACTTAGGCAAGACGTTCCAGAGATAGTGGACGCTTGGGAGCAGCGAAACGGCATTGCGAGACGGTCGCGCTCCAAAGCAAAAACTACCTAAGGACTCTTGCCTAAGGACATTTTTTCGGCGCCACCATGCGAGCGCAAGCCAGAGGGCCCACCAACGGAATCTTGACGTCATTTTTCAGTTTCTATTGTTTTCTATCGCGCGGTGAAGAGGAGAGCAAACAAACGCTAGCTAGAAAGCGGAGGCGCGACTGCCTTCACCATCACTCCCACAAAACACCCAAAATTCCTGCCCACAACACCTTTACACCTCGCTACCTACATCCCACTTCTAATACCCCAACGCAAGCACTTTCCACACTATTGCCATCTAGCACAATCAGCCCCTCGTCCATACTTATTACCAACCCATCCACTTCCACCATCATGGACCCTTCCACTTTCGAACAGCAGCTTAACTTCGACGAAGCCACCAAAATGGCTCACGTCCAGTTGCACCGAGACGATGCCAAGGTCCGCGTCTTCCCCGTCGACGAGGAAGCCACCGCAAGGGAACATGAAGCTGAGGAGGGCGATGGCGACGGCAAGGGCAGACTTCGAGTCAAGCTCAAGGAAGCCATTGCCTCCAAGTTCAAGAACAACGCGTACCAGGCCATGGTGTCCTACGTGGTTGACAACAAGATCAAGGACTTGAGCACTGCTTTGCAGATCCGAGCTGACGATCTGAACTTACCGCCTCTTGTCATCTCTGGCAAGAGCGAGCTTGAAGAACTCAAAGACGCCAAAAAGCAGAAAGCACCTGATGTCGGCTTCAAGGTGATCACGGACAAGGAGACTCGTATTGCTCCAAAGTCCAGACGCTTAAAGCAACGTCAGAAAGAGCGCATTCAGGAAGGACGCCAGATTGCACTCCTGGACAACACCCCGGACAAGAACGCTGTGGACGAGATCCGAGGCAACTTGCAACTCATGGGTGTTCCTTTCGCGAAAGCTGTGCCTGGGAATTTCAATACAGCAATCAACGATGCGAAAGCGGAGGGTATCCCCGTGTGGGAGAAGCTCCTCGAGGCACCTGAACTGAACCAAGGTCGCCGTCGCTCTAATTCAACTCCAACTTACCACAACAAAACCACTCCTAAGCCTGATAGCAAAGAAGTGACCGCCAACCTCCGCGAGACCGCCAATCAACATGTCGCCACCGAATTGGTCAAGAAGGACGGCATGAACATACGCCCGGACAGCGATGAGATCATGGCCGAATTGCACAAGTTTCTAGCCAATCGACCTCAGTATCGCGGCAAAGAAGGACAGTTGAACAAGGTACACATCAACACCTTCCGTGACTGGATGCGATACTCCAAGAAGATGTTGGCGTCCTCTCACGACATTGAGCAACTGATATATCGCAAATACCAAATCGTGCCAACTGGTCTGATCCCTGTTGCCGAAGATGCATGCGCTCAGGAGATTCAAGACGCAGCCCACTTCGACTCGCTTAGAGCTCTGCCTAAGCTCAGGGATGGCGACAAGGAAGAAAAGGAAGAACTGACCGAAGAACAAAAACGCGAAATGGCAAACCGCAAGCTCGAAGAAAAAGCTCATGCCTTCCGACGCATAGCCCCAATCGCCAAAGACATTCACGAGCTTATGGCACGCAAAAAGGTTTTCACCCAAGATGAAGACAACCGAGTCAACATCCAGATGGTTGAACAACCCGAGCTTACATCGTTCCTACGCATCCGCCACAGCCTACATTATCGCGACGCTGATGTCCCTGACAAGCAACCTAGCCGCAACATCTACATCGACCTCACATACAACAACACAAACGGTCGTCAAGGCGAAGAAGGCAAGGACATCGACTACTACAACACTCACCGAGTCGTGGACGTCAGCGATCCCGCTTGGCAGCCATACCTCGAGAAGATCTTCCCTCAAACCAAGAAGCATGAGGACTACTTTGTCACCTTGTATGGGTCGGTCAAAGTATCAGGCCTCCATCTATACTTGATCACGTTCAAGCATAATGAGAAGCACTGCACCGGAAATCTCATGACTCGTCAGGAAGATGTCACCGCTTTGAACACTGATCTTCGCACCGTCATTGAGGCAGAGCCGGCGGTCTTTGTACTGGTCCGCGCTGACGACGATCTGCCCATCCATGTTCAGACCTTGGTTGATCGCTTTGTGGATTTGACCCGATATAATCCACTGAATGAGTTCTTCGAGCAGCCCAAGAACCCCAGTCTGAGCGACACTGGCATCAAGAAGATGGAAGAATTGCCAGTTTTCACAGCATTCCCTCAAGCCGTCTATGACGTGTGGCAGACCTACTCACAACAATTGGGCATTGCCGGATTGTTGGAGCAACGCTTTTCGATGGGAACTCATATTTACGATGCAACGGTTGCCGTCGTCCCAATCCCCGCAACCTTCCTCGCTGTCGCCAACGTTTTCATGTCATACCATTTGCAAGCCAGCATCAAGTATGATGAGGATAAGCCAAGGCTTATGCCAGGAGACACGGTTATTGTGGAGTTTGAGCCGCGGGATGAGGCTTCCTCTGCATCTGAAAAGGCATGGAAGGGACGAGTCAGCGAACCAACTCAAGCTACACCCATGGGCGCCAGCAACATTATTGTCGAACGCCCCATCAAAGACGGAGAACTGTTGGATGATAAAGAACACTCCATTATCACCATGAATGCGCTGGGCAAGATGTCAGCACCGCAACTGATTCGATGGTGCCAGGACAACTTCAAGGTCAAGATCAAGATTTTCGCGCAAGGTGACGCAAAGGAATGCAAGAGGCTCATGAACAACGTCCGAGCTATGGAGCTTCCCGAAAGTCAGAGAGAAACACATGAAGAAAAAGGGAAGATACTCGAAGCAGCGCGCAACACTCTTCTGTGCACCAACCACCTACTGTCGACCACGACCCCGCTCTACGATGATGTTCTCGAGAACCGCGATGCCAGTACCACCTACATACAAGAAGTCCTTCGACCCCATCAGAAGGAAATCTATGACAAATGGATGATGGACGGCGTCTACGACAAGACTATCTGGCTCACAGGTCCTTCAGGAAGCGGCAAGACATACCTCGCTGCTGCAACAGTGCTCCCATACCTGAACAAGGTAACGGTAGAGCGATCCATCGTCAACATCATGAATAAAGACAAGGAAGTCGCATACCAGAAAACTGCAAAGAAAAGGGAAGAAAAGGACAAAGGGAAGGTTGACCAGAACGATGGCTGGGACAAAGCCGGCATCGAACAAGTCGAAGAAACCGAGACCGCCACCGACCCGACCACCGACCCGACCGCCGACCCTACCGACGAACCCACCGCTGACGCCGAAGAAAGCGCACCGACCAAAGGCTCCGCAGACTCGGATGCTAAACAAATGGGCGATGTTGAGATTGAGCATGGACGGATCACAATGCTAGCAATGCAGAACGAATCGGTTGACGCCGAGTACGTGCTGATGAAAGCCATGGCCGAGCAATACGCAAAGGACATGTGTCTGCCTAAGCCAATGGTCCTGCGCATGCACGGCAGAGAATCAGAACTCGCGGCCGTTAGAGCAATGACGCACCCCTTGTATAACCCCAACGAGCACAAGCCTAGGTTCAACGTTGACACGTCTGTCACGGTTACGGAAGAAGTCCCCATGAGTCTGCTGAACGCATACCTGGCAGCATACCGTGGTGGAAGCCCGTGGATCTCGGACCGACGCTTGAAGCACGTTGATGGTGCAGCAGCCCGATACATCCTGCAGCTCGCCCGTTTCCCAGGCTTTGACGTTTCACAGGAACTGCGCGATACTTTCTCTGCGCAAGAACGAGAAGAGTTCGCCAAGAGCCTGAAGCCTGTCATCAAGGGACATCAAATGAAGCGAACTCCAGAAGGCATTAACGTGGAGCTCAAGATACAGATCGCCCAGGCAGCAAAGGCAGCCCTGGAAGCCTTACTCGAACGCGCCGCGGTCGTATGCACCACAGTCTCAGTCGGCACGCAGATGAGTTTCAACATGATCCGCCGGGCCCATGCCGTCGTCCTGGAGGAAGCCGGCAGAGCCAATGACACGGAGACGGTGGGTATCCTCTCCCAGTATTGGAACTGCGGCCTCAAGATACTTGGCGGAGCCACGAATCAGCTGCGGCCTATGGCTTTTGGAAACCCGAAGCAAAACCCTTTCCAAAAGACGCTCGAGATGGCTACTATCGCAAGGCTTGAAGCCACTGGTGGTGATGTAAACAGATTGCTGGCCTCCTCCCGGTACCGAAACCAACAGCTGTTTGACTTGTGCGCGACGGTCAACGACATGCCGACAATGGTACCCGTCCAAGGCGCTTTCGACGATGCATCGTCACAGCAGTACGCCAACATCAACAAGAAGATCTGGAAAATTGACAGCAACCTTATCTTCCTTAATACCGTCCACACCACGGAACAGAGAGATGCAAACCGCTCCACTTACTGTTTGGAAACAGCCGCCGTCGCCATCAAGGATGCAGTCGAACGCGTCCAGTACATTGAAGGAAAACACCATGTCATCATTACTCCGTACAACGCTCAAGTTGGAGTTTTACGCCGGGAGCGCGACTTCGCCGCCTACACTGCACATACACGACGCCAGACCGCTATCGCAAAGAAGCTGATGGATATTGAGATCACCACTATCGACTCATTCATGGGCAAGGATCGCGAGTCAGTGACAGTAGACACCGCAGGAGTCATTGGCCACCTGTTTGAATACGGACGTACTGTCGTTGCCGCTACTCGCGCTCGGACCTCCTGCCAGTTCATCGGCCCCACCATGAACTTCACAGCTCCAACCGCCAAAGTCAATGCTGGTCACCCCTTCACGAAGGTCATACGCGGTATGGATCAGAAGGGCCAAATCAGAAGGATCACTTTGGATGACATCAAAACCTTTGAGCAATACCAGACTGCCATGAAGGTTATTGGTTTTGACGTGGATGAAATCACACCAGTGGCCAAGAAGGCATCGATCACGGTCCTCGAAGCATACGGTCAAGGCCCACCTGATAAAGATGAACTGGAAATCATTAAGCTCATGGAACAAATCAAGCCTGAGCAAGCCAGCCCTGCCGATGACAAGGACGAGGATGACAACACTACCACCAGTTGGACCACTAAACACGCCGACAAATCCGCCGCTGACGATGATGACGCCGCCGCCGACCCTACCAACGAAGAAGCCAACGAAACTAAAGATACCGTGGGAGGGACTTGGGGAAATGATCTGTCCTCCAATTGGGAGCAGGAAGTCAACACAACTTGGGATAAAGAAGTCAACCCAGCTTGGGACAAGGGTGGATGGTAAAAGGACAACTGATATGGGAAACTCGTGATGGTCTCTGAGAATGCTGACTGAGGATGGTTTGGGATACATGACATCTCGCGGATGAGAGGATTTTTTTACCAAGGGGGGGCAGATGTTATGGCACAGCGCTTACCTCATGGGGACTAGTGCCTTGGCTCTCTGCCTGTACTTAGACTGCTGCGTAGCTGCCTCCACCACCACGAATCAATCTTGTACACTACTTTGTCCGCATACCTGTTCTACTACGTTCTGGCTGTTGGCATTGGGCCATAGCAATAGGATAGTCTTAACTACAAGGTTACAATCTCTAGAAAGACAAAAGAAGAAGAGGCAACTGCACACACAGCCTACATCCAATCAAGGATAGGAGACAACTTTACAGCAATCTACTCTGACGCCTCTAAGATTATAGAGGGAAAAGGCATAGGAGTAGGCGTAGTAGCTTACAACTTAGCCCAAGAAGAGCTCTACGCTGAGAAGAAGAACATTGGAGATCTCCAACTAGTCTACAATGGAGAGCTAGAGGGGATTACAAGAGCGTTTGAATACGCTGCTAGAAACGCTAGAAGAGACCAAGAGATCCACGTCTACGCAGACAACCAGGCAGCAACATATAGGCTTAGCAGCCTATCAGATAGCCCAGGCCAACAATGGTTAATCCGATGCCTAAAAGCAGCCAAGACTATTCAATCTAAGAAGGCCAGCATCCATCTCCAGTGGGCACCAGGCCATAAAGCAGTTAAAGGAACGAAGAGCAGACGCGTTAGCAAAGG